CATGCGGGAGCCTGGCCCCAAACTGTAGGGGGTGGGGGAAGATGCAATACAAGTTCCCCTCAGCTGTGCACCAGGTTCGGGGCCGTGCCACATGGCGGGGGACTGCAAATGTTTCAAATTTTTGCTGTGAAAGTTAGGACTATAACAGGGTTTAAAAAAGAACTAGATAAATTAATGCAGATTAGGTCACCGGCACAAGCCAGGAGTCAGTTGATTTCCAGCTTACACCCATCCATCCCCCTTTCCCCTCCCCTGCTTGCTACGCTGCTGCCTTTTAAATGTATTAAGAGCCTGGCACCTCTTAATACATTTAAAAGTCAGAGCTGCAGTGGGATTAGCTCCTCGGCCGGGAGCTACCCCCGCTGCAGCTCTGCAGTTTCCCCCCTTATCGACTAATCGATAGTGGGAAGGGGACTGGTCCCTTCCAGTCCTAGTATTCTCTGAGTAGTCAATAGAAATTCCATCGACTACTCGATTAGCTGATTAGAGACGACCCAGGAGATCAAAGGGCTAGAAAAGATCCTTCTAGTGAGACTCAAGCTGCTCGATCTATTTGGCTTTAGAAAGAGAAAGTGGCACGATTACAATCTGTAAGTACCTACACAGGGAGCAAATATTTAATAATGGGCTCATCAGTCCAGCAGAGACAGGCAGAACGTGATCCGAATGGCTGGAAGCTGAAGTGAGAGAAATTCTGGCTGGAAATCAGAGGTAAATTTTTGCTGGAGGTTTAATTAGCTATTCTAACAATGGACCAAGGGTCATGGTAGATTTTCCAACACTGACCATTTTAAAATCCAAACGGGATGTTTTCCTACGTGATGCTCTAGGAATGATCTTGGAATTTCCACAGCCTGCTCTGAACGGGAGGCCATACCAGAACCATGGTCCCTTCCGGCCTTAGACTCTATGAATCTGTTATGGGGGAAATCCACTGGGGGGGTTTCTAATTTAGGTATTTACCCACCAGCTGGTGCATGTACAAAGCAATAGCAATGACTCGCCTGGTTTGAGGCAGTGGAAGAAACTCTCTCGGGCAGGGGGCATGTCTGAGAGTAGGAGATGGCCCAGGGGTTAGGATGCCAGTTTGGTGTTCAGGGAGTCCAGGTTTGATTCCTTGCTCCTCCTCAGACTCTGTGACCTTGAACAAGTCACTTTGTGCTTCAGGTAGGAGCCCTGCCTAGCCTCCTTTAGGGGTGGGGGATTGTGAGAACAAATAAATTTAAAACTGTTGTGGTGCACAGCAAAAGTCCCTGTGAATTTTTTCCTTCTATGTGCGAAATAAATTTTTCTGTGTGCGCCGAGGCATGTGCAAATGTGCCACCGGTAGAACAAAAACCGAGCTGTGGGCACTCTGCTAATCAGCTGGGGGCATTGCAATCTCTCCTGAGTGGCTGCACAAGGGCACAGCTTGTAGGGAACACTGGTGCTCAGATACAATAGACCTAGGGAGCCCCCAGGCACCTGAGAAATCCCCCCCCCCAGCGGAGGGGCTTCCACCTTGGTGGTGGAGTACACCCCCTGGCTGTTGCAGGCTGGGAGAGGAGAGGAACGCACGGTGCTAGTGTACTGACGAAGGGGAGGTTCTTGGTGACCTCTGCCCCCATCCCATTGGCTGCGTGAGCTGTAAGCCCTGCGGGCAGGGACTTTTCTGTTTGTATGTTGTTCTGATCAATCATAGTGATAGAAATGTAGCCCTGTTAGTCTGGTGTAGCTGAAACAAAAAAACAGGACTATGTAGCACTTTAAAGACTAACAAGATGGTTTATTAGGTGATGAGCTTTCGTGGGTCAGACCCACTTCCTCAGATCAAATAGTGGAAGAAACACTATTTCTTTCTTTTTAACACATAGAAAGACTATGTGCTACATAGTCCTGTTTTTTGATGAGTCACAGGCACTGATGCACTAGATGGGCCATCACTCAGTGTAGTCAAGTCTTTAAATTTAAAGAATTTAAAACATGAAAAGGACCAGTGTCTTCAGGGTCTGAGCCCCTTAATGTGTCCTGCACACCGTAGAGTCGAGAACTGGGGTAATAATGACTCAGGAAGCCATGATCCCCCTATTTAAAAGTGACTTGGGAGCTTAAAAAGCATGTAGGAGCCCACATCTCCTTCACACGGGCTCCAGAGCACCTAGACACCTTTGGAAAGTGAAACACAAGCTCCTAAGTCCTGTCTGTGCTTTGAGAACACGACCCCACGCTCAGTGAGCGGGGGCACTGGCCGGGTAGCCAAGTGGTTCGCACGTGCAGCTCCTCACTAAGTGGAGAAGCTTTAACTATCTGAACGGCACAAAAGGCTTCCTGGGTGAGGGTCAAGAGAAATCAGCATCAATCATCTGTCCCAGAGGGTTTGGTGGAGGCTGTTCTCTCAGGCGCTGGCCTGCCATGTAGAAGAGAGGCTGAATTCTCTCTCGCAGGCTGGGTGACCTGACCGTGCTGTGCAGGCAGCGTGTGTGCCGGCGCGCATACAGACATCGGCGTGCGGTTTGTGGGCAGAGCTGGGATCGGTTTTGTCTTTGGCCTGCAGCTTGTTGGTCTGATCTCTGACCAGCCTGCTTGGGAAGGGAGTCCCCAGCTTTTGGGGGCCATATTCTCCATGACACAGTCTCCTCTGCAGGGATGTAAAGTGAACTCCGTATGGGTGGACAGAGAGCCAGGTCTGAACAGCTGAGGCAGCAGCAGGGCGACCCGCAGGGCTCTGCTACCACAGCCCAGGCCTGAGAGCTGATAGGAAGTCAACATGCCCCTTGGGCTCTCTGCTGAGGCTGCAGCTGCAGGGCATGTGTCTGTGACAAGCATCTGCTGGGGATGGGCCTGACCCTGCTAAACACCCTGCAGGTAACAATAAGGTGGAAGCAACTTTTCCATCCCTACTGGCCTGGATTAGATCTGGACCCCTGACCCGCTGCGGAAAGACACCAGATCCATTTGCCAGTCTCCAGTGTTCCCTCTAATTTTTTTCCTCCATGTGAGGAATAAATTTTACATGCACTGAGTTATGTGCACCGCCAATAGAATCTCTGTCGGTGCTCTGCTACTCAGCTGGGCAATATTTGAGACTCTCCGGGGTGGCCACCCAAGTACCCAGCTTACAGGGAACCCTGCTCCGGATCCTCCGCCCACAGCCCGCCTGCCTGTCCCTGCAGGATAGTGATTGTCTTCCATTAGCCTGTGTGTGGCAAGGACTCTGGCAGCTTGCTCCTGCGGCTGGGGCATGGGTTTGAGCCTGTGTGTGTGGCAGGTGACGGCAGTGGCTGCTTAGCCTCAGAGAGGACTGTGGGACTGGTTTAGTGTAGAGCCCATTCAATACCATGGTGAATTCCCGTTCCCAGGGGCCTCCCTGCAGGATAGTGATTGTCTTCCATTAGCCTGTGTGTGGCAAGGACTCTGGCAGCTTGCTCCTGCGGCTGGGGCATGGGTTTGAGCCTGTGTGTGTGGCAGGTGACGGCAGTGGCTGCTTAGCCTCAGAGAGGACTGTGGGACTGGTTTAGTGTAGAGCCCATTCAATACCATGGTGAATTCCCGTTCCCAGGGGCCATAAGAACTTGTGTCTACATTGGACCAGTGGCTGGGGGTGCGCT